CTGATGTTAATATTTTTAAAACATAAGTGCCATTTGATGTTACAGCTAATGAACAGGAAATCTTAAATTATGATATCATTGCATATCTTCTGTTCTGTGTCTATTTGCTAAGTAGTAGTTTTGGACATTAGGTAAATCTAGTCCACCTCTGTTTTTAGTTTTCTGTAGTGTCTTTTAGCTGATACGAGTGGGTATCTTTCCAAAGAAATTTAAAGATGGAAGAATCTAGAGATTTAAACCAGTCGGATGATGGTTTATTGGGGATCATTGAAAATAAGTAGTTAATTCTAGGTAAGACCATCATTTTTATTGAGGCTACCCTACCCATATGTAATGATCTCAGAACATAGGACACAGAATTCAAGGTGAGACAGGCAGTAGGAAAGTTTAAAGCATTTATTAAAACAAACAGGAGCGTGGGGCTGCTCTGATCTCTGCAGAGATAGGAGATACAGGTCAAGGAATGGATTGTCAGGCTGATCACAACGTGGAGTAAAGTCACTAGCCTGATTCAAAGTTCAGTCCGTTCTTGGAGAAGAGAGTTGAATCCTAACTGGAGGTCAATCCTCAGCTTGCAGCAGGCGCTGCCCCCAGAGTTCATAGAGAGAGAGAGAGCAGAGCAGGTGCCAGCCCAAACCGAGCAGCAACAGTGTGTTTGAGGGGAAAACCCAAAGCCGGAGTCAGAAGACAGGTCCAGGTTCAGAAGCCGGTAGAATCCAGGAATCAGTCCAGAACCGATCAAGCAAACAGAGCAGACAGGGGCAAGGCAAATCTCGGGATCCACGAGGCAGAAACAGGTCACAATTAGGAAAACAGAACAGACTTCAGAATGCTCAAATAACCTGGCGCTGATGGAAGGAAAGCACACAACATTAATACCAGAGGAACCTGGTGGAAATGATTAGCATTTAGCAGCCGCAGAACCAATTAGACAGGGGAGCAAGGAGCAAAGGAACAGAACCGAACCATCAGCGCCAAGATCATGACACCATAAGCGATTTCCATCTTTCTAGGTCCTCTTCTATCTTTTTTAAAAGCAGGATGTGGTTACGTTTTGGTAAATCAGCTAATTTAGATGATAAAATAATTCCAAAATATTTGATATTTCCTGATTGCAGTTGTAAACCTAGGGGATTCTGTAGAGAGCAATTAATTGTTATAGATGAGTATAAATTAAATTACAGGTTATTAATAATTCAATGGTGTGCTTAAGATCCAGAGTTTAGGGCTAACGTAATAGATAAATGAATTCAATCATGGATTTTGAATGGGATAACGACATACTATTCTCTTGCAGAAAAGGGACAACTTAAAAGCTTTGATAGGTTGAAGGAAGACCAGGCCGAACTGAATTTTCTAGGTTCATCCAGGTGGTAGTCGTATTGAACATATCAGAAAGGGCGTCAACTCCAGAATTTATAAAGGCCTATTGTCTACTGTACAAAGTCCCCCAATACAGATTATGTTAGGAAAAAGTGGGAGAGGGAGGGTAACCTGATAATAACTGAGGAGGATTGGCTTGGCATTTCCCAATCCCAGTGGAAATGCACCAGCTCTCATTCATGGCGAGTTTGGTCGGAAGGCTTTGATCCGTTTCTTTATTTCACCAAAACAAAAGACACATTTTACTTGCGGGGAAGCGGGAGGCAATGTGGAGACCAGGAGGTCAATCATTGGCATAACTTTTGCGAATGCCCAGTGGTTAGATCCTTCTGGGCAGAGTTTCGTAAGGTACTAAGGATGCACTTTCCATTTTTCAACATTATTTTTAGGAAATTTTGATTTACAGGTCAGGAAAGCTAATGAATATCTAATATCTATGCTAACTATGTGGGGGCAGTGATAGCCATGCTAACTGTGTAGGGGCAGTGATAGCCATGCTAACTGTGTAGGGGTAGTGATATCCATGCTAACTAT